CTGCTCCGCCCCAAGGCCCTGCCTGTCAGCCCCTCTTTGGGACACAGGCGGTGACTGCAGCTGCAGAGCTCTGGCAGGAGGTGGAAGATGTTTTAGAGGAGGCTTTGTTGCTTTTACATGATAATTTGGGGATGGGGGTGAGTAAAAAGTAACAATCCTGCTGCTCCGTTTGCCTGTCTGTCCCTCTTCCTGCTGCCCCCTCGCACCCCCGTTGAAGGCTTGTACCTGGGGTCCCTGGAGCTGAGCAGCTGCTCGTCCTGCTGGGGCCTGGTCTCCTGTACTGTAACAAAACGATGCGTTAACCTCAGTCTCCTGCCACACGTCCGCACGGCAGCGCAGAGGGGGCCTTCTAGCTGTTAATGCCTTTCCAGATATTTTATCAAAAAGGGAAAAAAAAAAAAAAAAAAAGAAAAAAATGAAAACTGTAAATGTAGCAAGCTGTGTTTGCAATGCTTATTTTCTCCTGTCTCCTCTGAGACTGGTTATGTCACTTTGTCACTGTTTTGAAATGGATGCTAGGCTCTTTTTTAAGAGAGGGTTGCTACACTTGGTGTTTAATGCCTCACTGACTCTTTGTTGGGGTTTGGGGTTGGTTTTTTTTTTTTAAGTTTCCAATACAGGTAATAGATGAATGACCTTTTTATTTTTTTTTTAAGAAAACGTTCATCTCGGTGGCATGGGGTGGGTGGCTGGAGGGCAGCGTTCCAATGAGTAGTTTACAGTTTCACTTTCTGCAGACACTTGAACATAGGACCGACGTATCTGTGACAAGCACATCCCTTGGTGGGAAGCTCCAGAGGAGCAGGAGTGCTGCTGGGGCGTGTGGAGCGTGCTTGGGCCAGCCCCTGGGTCCCTGCACTGTCCCCCTGCCCTTCGCTCGAGTGGGAGGATGTTCTGGGCACCTCTGGGTCCCTCAAGCCTCCCCGGTGCAGCCCTGCTCCTCTTCCTCCTCTCCCAGCCTGTCCTGGTCCCACTGGGGTCGGAAACTTTTGGATCTGTGGCTCGAGCCCTGGTGAGAGGGTGTCCTCTGCTTGCTCCCCTGGAGCAGGAGGGGTGATGGTTCGATGTGCTGGCCCTTCTCAAACCCCGTGTGTCCCAACCTCAGCCTTCCGTTTCCCAAAACTAGAAAGTGTGTGCAACCTTCTTCAGCTGCATTTATCGTAGAGACAGACTTAAAATGACTCATCACAGACCATGTATCACTTGGGAGGAAAATCTTGTTAATATGGCCCGCTGTACATGATCCATCTCCGTCGATAGTACATAATCTTTGACCCATGTGCTAGGATCATCATCACTTATAAAAGGAAAAGAGAAAAATGTAAAATACTTGAATGAGAGCTTGTATTATAACATTAATATTATTCAGAGTATCTGCTTTCTAGGCTGATGTGATTCATTATTCTAGTAATGCTTTAGTCCTTTGTAATTTGTGGTAATTATGCTTTTTCCTTTTTAATACAAAAAAAAATGTATAAAAATAAAAACTTCAAAAGACAGTGCGGCCTAGAGGTTTCTGTTCTGCTGACGGGCCCTCCCCAGGGGGCTGGGGGTACACGAGTGGGCTCAGCTCATCCCTGGGTGGCTTCCAGGGGTCGGTGCAGGTCAGCCCTGCGTGGCCTCCCCCTGGGGGCTTTGCTTAGGACGTGGCTCTAGCAGTGGTGAGAGGCAGGGGTCATTTTTGTCCAGGTCCCCAGGCAGGATTAAGACTTGAAAAGATCCTGGAGGAAATTTGCAGTGTGTCTCAGGATTGCTTGTGTAGGTAGTTAGGGAGGTGCATAACGCTATGGGTGCCTTTTGTTGGGCCCTCTCTCAGAGGGATTTGCTGATCTCCACACAGCTCAGCACAGCCGGGACTCTGGGAAAATCTCTTTCCATTTTTATCTTGTACAGTTTTGGTTTGTGGCTCCTTGTGTGTGGGGAGTGAGGTGAGGCTCAGCAGGAGGAGATGTACCAGGGCTTCTGCCACGTAGCACACCAGCTCTCAGCTTTGCTTCCCTGTCCCACAAGAGAGAAATTGGCTTTGTTGGCAGACATCAGTGAGGATGTGACAGCCCATAATTCAGACCTGTACTGATTTTCATGAAGAAAAACTGCTTGGGGGAAATCAGGCCTCTGTTGCATGTGCAGGGAAGAGTGTTCCTAAATCTGTGGCCCCTGCTGACCTTCCATGGGGTCACATCCCATATCCCAGCTGTTCTGAGTCTGCAAAAAACAGTGGGTTTAATCCTATCACACATAGTTACAGTGATCTTGTTGGTATTTCTGTAGAATGTTGCTGAATGTGGCCTGTGAAACCTAAAGTGTTCAAACCTCAATGAGAACTCCCCAGGAACTCCCCAAAGCCACGTGGCCCGGAACACATCTGGCTTATGTGCAGGCAGCTGGAACCAAGGAACAGTGCAAGTAATTAAGGGAAAAAAAACCTTCTAACTTTAACAATAGCTTTCTAGAGTAGTTTGGTTTGTGCCTTAGGTAGATAATAACAGGCAGCAAAAGTACAGTAATTTCAAGCAGCATGTTTAAGTTCAGGTTTCATTACATGTGAACAATACTCGTTTCTCAATTAAAATACTATTTGGCATAAATTATTGTCTTGCTCTGCTAGTCCCTGGGCTGTTGCAGAGCCGCCGGCTGGTGGGTCACTCTGCCCTCTTGGGCACCTCGGGGATGCTCTCGGAGAGTGGGGTGAGGCTGAGCAGGAACCTGTGTCTCTCAAAGGCTTTGCTTTGTCTGAACACTGTGTCCGTTCCATGCAGATAATCTAGCACTCCCAGGACTCCGTAGCACTGGTTGAACCTGGAAACCAAACGGGGAACGACCATCACTGGAAGTTACTGAGGTAACCTTGCCCTTCCTCTTTCC